ACTGTAAAAAGATGGTTTCTTGCTTTGTTTCAAAATCTATGTATTACAACAGCTGATTCGGACAGTTTTTCTTTTTTAAAATTTCGATAATAAGCTCCACAGAAATATTTTGTCAATTTGAATCGTACGTACGCGGCATTTCGCAATAACTTTCTATCAGTTTAAAAGAAACCTTGATACAATGTGCTGATTGATTCACGTATTTCGTGAGAAAAAAAAAAGTGTTCGAAGCGGCCGAAAATAAGTCACGATGGCTCTTTCTCCAAAACAACCTCGTGTTAAAGAATAATGTTGAGTCAGTCCATAGTAATCTATATGAATGATAATCCAGATTAAAAGGAATGTCTGCATGGTGCATGACAAGGTATATAATTAAAAAACTCTTGATACCATTTAAAAAATATGCAACTATTTTTAACATTATCGGATATATCTTCATTAGCCTCACTGAAATATAACCTGGTTTTATTATTATTTCATTATCCTAAGGCCGAATAGCATTGTTTATTTGTATTCAGGAACCCTTGGGCTCCGTGATTTTTTTTTTATAAAACGGTAACAGTATGGCGGAAAAACTATTTCGTTAGCGTTAGCTGTAGTACAATCTTTGTGAAACTTGAGGTTTTATGTGATCTTATTAAGCAGTTATTGGGTGTTTGGCTCCATGGTTAACCAAATTCAATTTCAATTTATTGATTTCTGACTTTTTTGCTTCGCTTTTCATTAACGTTGATTTACAGTATAGGAGTCTTACTTACAGTGTCAACATCCCCCGGTAGGAAACCTTAATGCCAGCGAACACTCCAGACGGTAAATCCTGTAACTGGTTGTTGGACAAGTTCCTGGAATAAATAAGTCATTTCAACGAAGTGTGAACTCTGGTGTCTGCAACATGTGTGTTTTCCGACATCTTGAAAGCACCCGATACTTTTTCAAAATAATAACATGAATGTTTGTATTTACCTCACATGAGTGGATAATTAGATCAAGTTACTCTACCCTTAGATCTTCATGCAAAATAACATTGTTCGATTAATCTGCCAACATTTCACACCATCTGCATGGTTTTCTGAGCAGTGGTACAAATTCTAAAAGATGGCGAACATTTTGGTCAGATTAATTGCTTGTCGATAACTTAAACTCGCAAATTGAAAGAAATGGAGGACTCATTTTAAATCCCCTGTTGTTATATTCTTTTAACCCGTTGGTGCTAAGTCCGAATAGTTTATTGAAACGCCAAGTGACCAGAGAGAGAATCTTTCATTCGAAACGATGAGAAGTAACGTTGATATTAGCACATAAATGTAATGTGAAATTCTTTCAGAACTCTCAGCATAGATTTATTAACACACTAAATATTAACTGAATTTTCATTTGAGCCACGAGCACTAATTTTCTACTGAGTGACATCCATTCACGAATAACAGTTGTACCGGGCGTTTTTAGCGCCGGTTGTCGTTATATGGTCCTGAGCGGTATTGTAGAGACTAAATGACTGTAAATAGATGAAAATCATGTATGTGAACTGCGAATATATAAATGAATATAGAAGCAATCCTCGCATCAATGAACACTGCTTAAGCATTAGCGAAAATAAGGTACAAATTCCGTACAAGCCTGAATTTTTTTCAGGCCTTATTTTCCCTAGCTACTGCTTAAGTGGTGTTCATTACTGCGAGGAAATCCGTACTCATTTCTTTATCTGCAGTTCACTTATATGACTTTCATATATTTACAGCCATTTATTCATCAATTCACGGGTTTATTTGGAAGCAACATAATGATCGGCTCCTAATTGGCTTGTTAGCTCAGTTGGTAGAGCGCTGCACCGGTATCGTAGAGGTCATGGGTTCAAATCCCGTACAGGGATACAGCGTTTCATGCCTCATTTTCACTACTGCTTAAGATTGAGATGTTCATTACTGCGACGCTTCCATACTCATTGTATAGACTGTTTTCATAGCATTATGAGCGGTTTTGTGACAACTAACGTCAAGCATTCATCAGAGGTGTCATAGCGGTGGTATTCAAAAGCTCACCAGCGATGTCTTTAAGCGGTTGCCTTTGACTGTTTCTCAAACTGTTTTCCAGCGGTGGTCTTTAGGCCTTCATCACCGCTGTTAAAGCGCTTGCATTAAACCGTTCCTGAGCGATTTAGCAGCTGTTGCCCCCTGGTGGTCTTGCAGCGAATGCGCTTCTGAGCCGTTTTTTTGTGGCTAATGCCTTCTACAGGAGGCGAAGCCAGATAAGTTGTCGAGATTAGCGAGTGAGTGAGTGAAACGATAGAATTCTGATTAGTGTTTTTTCGGTGTTTTCATTCCGACATTCGCATTCGATACACAGTTGAATTCTCTCCTTTTGTGATTTCTAGCTTATAGCCACTAGCATATTATATTTACAGACTTTACAGTTCTAACCTTGACACTACGGAAGACAGCAAAAGACGATAAACATATCACAATCATTTCCGGATTGCGCGCGATTCAAAACAAAGTTTTCCCTGTAGAAATAGATGTGATCGGCACATAATAATACAGAGGAAAAATTTTCCTTCGAAGAGAGAGCGTTTACCGTTTAAATCAACAAATTATGTGAGACCGAAGTTATAATAATCTTTTGGTTCTTCCTGTGACACTACAAAAGACGATAAACATCTCAAAATAGTTTCTCAGTGCCATCCATCGAAGTATAATTGAAATCAAAACTTTTCCTTGCAAAAATATCTCAGTAGCTGTGATCTGAACATCATGGAAGCTTTGCGCAATTTTTTTCTTCAAAAAAGGAGAGCATTTTTCTGTTTGAATCAACGAATTATGTCCAAAGAGCCGCTAAATTTGCGAAGCGAGGAAGCTGCGAAATACGTACCCTGAGTTATTCAACAGAATGATGGAACGGTAGATCACCGGAATGGCGAAACATTTTAAGACGCGGAGTGACGGAATATTTTAAACTCGCTGGTCGTATATTCGAAACTTAAACTGACCAACCAACGAACGGCTTCCTCGGAGTTTCCGTCCTGACCGCTTAAAGTACTACCGCTTATTGTTCGTTTTTCTCGAGGACCATTCAATCGCATGGTCGAAAATGCACCTGTAGGTGACCACTTCAGGCGTTATCGTCTCTGTGCAACAAATTTTGCCTAAGTTTAGGATCCTTGGGTATTTACGCGACCCAAGAGATTGGAAGACATAAGCAACGTGGTATGGGGAGAGAAGAAAAGCGTCGCGCTGTTTTCAAAGTCTATGATGTTAATATCACTTTCTTTATCGTCTACTTTAACTTGTTCATTTTATGACTGAATATTTCCGAAAAAAGAGAAATAAACATATGGACACAGCTCTTAAGCAGCAGAGGTAGTTTTATGGCTGGTACGGGAGCAAAAAAAGTTGTAATCTCTTGTACGGGAGACAAAAGCGCAAAAAGTGTGGTTTTCAAAAAGACAAGGAACGAGTCGTAAAATTTTTTGGCTTGCCCAGTTTTTGAACTTCGAATGTTGATAATGTCAAAGAGGGTTTCTTATATAGCTTGCGCAACGTCAGTGCATGAAAGCGTCATTTTAAAAAGGACGCGAAATAGATTGAAACATCATTTTGGGTCAATCGAAAACGGTGCGGAAGTTTTTGTCTATGAAATGCCGTTTATGAAGTTGTAAACAAAAACATGCAACTAGAGGGCGAATGTTTGTGAGTTTGATTGTTTACGAAGCCGTTTTGGGCTCAAAGAAGTCTCAGAAGGAATTTCATGGGCAGTACGAGAGATAATTGTACAAATAAGGTGTGATCGTAAAGATGCACAATGGGTAAAAAATGTCGATGAAGTCGCAGACAGAGTTTATCGAGTGGCGCATGCATAAACAGTTTAAAAGAGCGTGATTACAAAAAGACGAGGAATGGGTGGAAAAACATTTGGCTCATTAAAAAAAATGTTTGAACTTTGGACGATGATGGAGCCGCAGTAAGAGGTTATTTTGAAGCTAAGTTCGAGCGTCAGCTGTGCGAAAGAGAATGTTTTTCAAGCGCATAGTGGATCGAAAAACTTATTTTGCCCGATGGACGCCGGCGCGAAGATTGAACTTTCTTAATTCCCTCCCATGTGTCATCCATTTGATAAGCAACATCAAGATAACAAAAATAGAGTTTAATCTAGAAAAAATCGAAAAACTAAAATCTTCCTCAAGCTAATCCCAGGAAACATGATTGGGTTGCTGACGTGCTTGAGAGAGCGGAAATTTGACTTTGGTGCGTTTTTTTTATGAGGAGGAGCATAGACAACATTTAAGAGGGGTGAGGATTTGAATCAATTATCTTGATTACTTGTTCATGCGTGTACCTTCATGGAAACGAAATTAGAGATCAAGGGAAAACTTTGTAGGGAAAGTTCTATGATAGAGCTCAATGCCTGAATAAGCTGTCTAAATATAGAAATAAAAGAACTTTCCAAAACCAAAACAAAAAACTTGTATCCGGAATCGAAACTGCCATGTCACAGGCACGCCATGATCCTAACGGATAACGCATGTTTTAAAGTAAAAACATTCCTTGGTAAAATCATACCACCTTAGGAAAATGAAACCTTATTATCGACTCAATGGGCTAAAGAGGGTTAAACAGCGAAGATTATTTACCAGTTATGTCATCATGTTGAACGAGTTGGTGACACATAGTGAGCATCATCGAATTGTATTGTTTGAATTAATTTCATAACTGGATCTAACCATGATAAACGACATTTTGTTATCCAGTTACCATGCTACACTTAAGTCCCCTAGGAATGTAGATAAGACTCTTACCGGACTCCAAATAAATATGAAATGTAAGTGGACTAAGTTGCACAAGAGAAGTTGCCAATCTAAGAAATATTGTATTGTTTTATATTTTTTGACAGGATGTTCAGATTCCAACTCATTCTGATGTGAAAGCCCATATCATGTCTCTATACATCGGCACGTGATTATAAAATCATTAATGAATGTTCGTAAGCTAAAGAAACGTCATTCTTACAGATATTCCAGTCTTGTGTTGTTACTAAAGGCCCCTGCTGGCAAGTTCTGCAACTTGTTTTTGGACAAGTCCCTAGGAACAAATTAACAAATCAATTACCTATTTATGGAGGGAGTAAGTTTCTAAAGAAACTGTGGTGCTGCGTCGGTGGAAGAGTGTAACTTATTTGATAACGTAAATTAGCGATTTGCTCTGACGAAGGGCTAACGCTTGAAACGTTAGCTTTGAAACTATATACGGTAACCAATTTACGTTATCAAATCAGTTGATTATACCAAATTACCTAATTATTTTATTTACTCCACTGGTAACCTGAATTGCCTAGCTTTCAAATATATAAGAGACTCGCACTGTCCGTATGGTGCTTGTTAATTTGAGCTTCACGTACAAATGAATCAGCTATGAGTTTTTCCTTTAACTTCAAACCATTTGCCGATCTAATGGCTGAAAAGATCTGATGAAATGTACATTCATCAGGATTATCCTTATGCCATTCACCTTTTCGATCAAGCAGTGACCATTTAAACAAGATAACTTTTATCAACTAATAGATCAGTAAACCTCCTCCAACAATTCGGTTTGAACGTTTTAACCAATTCCACATCCACGAGGAATATCCGTGGCGAACAATTGCTTAACAAGTTTTGACCAGTTTTTTTTGGCTCAAACGATTACCATAGCAACACTTCAGTCTACTACAGTGTCATCCAGTTTTAGCTTTCCGTGTATATCACCCAAAAACGAGTTCGGTGAACCCAAGATTTGATTATTCAGTACCAGTCAGCATATCATGACTTAGCTCTTAGAAACTTTTAAAAATATCAGTGGAATAAATTTGGACCCACCATAAATTATCGAAAAGCTATGATAGTGCTGAAACTACCTTACAAGCTTTTTTTGTTTTCAAAGACTTAAACAAACCTACCTCTTTATGTGCTAATTGCAGTTTAGCATGAAGAAAAGGTGTGATCAATAAACTCGCTTTTGAGTGACAAGCTCATACAGTTAAACTTAAGGTTGTTTTTAAAATACCGCATAGTTAAAATAATGAATTTCTGCGGCACGGAAATAAAATGTCCCACCTCATTAAATCTTGGGTTTATAAAAAATAGGAAATTTTCTTAAAGCCTCCGTAACGGCCATGGGTTTTCGTAATGAGCTGACCAAAAACGATTTTCTTTCACTTGGCCTCGATCAAAGGGAGCGTGTACACTTGAAATGATTAATTATATACTAAAGATAATTTTCGAAAATACCAGAGCTTAATTTGACCAACGCTTTTGCTGTTTACCAAAACCAGCAAATAAAAAATAAATAAATATGCAATGGTAATGATGCTCACGGAAACACCCGAAATGTTTTTTTGGCTATCTTAGAGGATAGTAAATACATGTAACATCAATTTTTCCTCCACAGCAAGGATCAGAAGCAAGTGTTTATATTCTTATAGTAATTTCAATGCTGCGCTCAGAAGTAATTCTGTCTCACTTTGTGTAACAGCTCTAAGTGACTTCTTTCCCATGAATATAGAGGTTAGCTCCGAAGGCTTAAACTGGGTCCGATCTACTACTTGGCTCTTAGCAATAAACTGATATGCTTCTCATGCAGAGCACTTTGTATAAAGCTGATCTAAGATATATCGACGATTCTCTGTTTAGTTCGAGTATTTTTACACTGCAATGGTAAGTGTTCTTTGAGTACGATATGAAATAATGAACTTAAGAAATTTACTGAAGTCCAAATTTTCAGCTGATCTCAATATCGTTTTCTTTTACTTATCTCGCCGTGTAACTTTCCAAGCTGCTTTACTTAAGACATTAAGTTTTTTCTACCTAAAAGTTTTACAGAGCCGGAAGAGAGCTTTAAAAATATAGTAAAGATGGACGAATTTTTTCCAAGTTTATCATGGATGATCTATTTCCCATGTGAGGGTCATTTCGCCCGTCAGTGTTTATGTTCTACGTTCGAATCGAGCAAAAGAATAAATACTCTGATATTGATGGTCCGACATAGATACCTTATCAAAGTTTACTCATCACTCAGAAATTACATATCACATGGAGGTTATCTCTGGAAATACTTCGGTTATGTCCAAGAGAAATGATAGATTGACACTGATTTCGTTACTAGATTCAACGGGTTTTCTTTGTCAGGTTGTAGTTGCTGGTGTTGTTGTTTTTGTTGTCCTTTCACCAACTTAACATTTGCAGGTGGGCTGTAAGGTCTAACTTAATATTTTCATGATCAAGCTCAATGTGTGGATCTTTACGTGGAATAGCGGACATAATAATTTTTAAAGTGAATTTTGTAAATCAAAATGCATGAATTTAGCTAATTTGCGAAATTCATGCAATTTGATTTGCGAAACGCACCCGAAGAACCTCACTGAATGAAACATTATTTTCCATCCGTTAATCTTCAATACATCAAAATACAAAAGAAGTTGACAAAGTCAATATGACTTACAGTTTTATCAGATTAGAATTTCTGCTGAAAACTTCCTTCGGCAAGTGCTTCAATTTGTTGTTTGAGAGCGTGCTGCAACAAAAAAGAAAGTCAGTTTTAACTCAAATTGTGAAAGGATAATCAGCAGCTAGCAGAAAAACCGTCATCTGTTTTTACCGAATGAGTGTCAAAAAAAAAACCGGTAGAGAAACTCTTGATCGAAAGTAAAACAAAGTCAATATCTCAAACTCCTGCGTAAATCTGACTGAAAATTAACCTGTACAACATTTTCAAATACATTGAATATGCTTTCACTGGTTTTTTTTACATTCTAAGGTAAATCAGTTGGCTCTTCTTTCATTTCAACACTCTGAATGCAGATAGAAAGGGAAAATCACCCGACGCATCTGGTTCAACAGTTATGGAATGTAATTCTTGTTATTTCTTATGAAATTTCTTATAAAATTACAAACGACCATAAAATTATTTTGTCTTTAGTATAACCTTCTCGTACTTTAGGCAATCATTGTGCCACTTCCAAATTCGAACAAAGGCCAAATTTGAGGCTTAATCGTTTACATGAAAAAATTACGCATGTCTGATTGGCTGAAAACGATTGCATTTTTCATATAAATTCTTATTGGCGCTGCCAAAATTTCGTCCTTCTTGACGTACTTCTGTGGTGAGTTTTTCATATGTAAGTCATTAACAAGACTAACAAGTAACGACATGATTTCGAGTGCAATTTGGTGTAAATAAGCGCACTTGTAAATCTGTCAAAGACGGACTCGTGCAATTTTGTTGTCTTTGAAAATTTTTAGTATTTATTAACATCAAATTGCACTCGAAATCATGTCGTTACCTAAACTTATATGATGTATTAAGAACTTACAGTTTTCCTGTAGCTCGGGGAATTTTCTCTGGAATTGACTTAAGCTGTTTCGTTCCACAGTCGGCCGATACTAAGTTCTTCATGTTACCTTTAAGGACTTTGCATTGGCACTGTTGAGGGCACTCTGACAAACAAAAACAGGCTTCCATTAAAAATTGATATTTGAATCATATCTGTTTGTTCGAATCAAATTGATGATGGCACGTTACAAAGTATACCATCCGTTTAGCTAAGCATTGTTCAAAACCATCCAAAACTAAAATGCTCTCTCATCGAAATGAAGACATATTTCACATCACATTTTTTATTTCTATTCAGCCGTTGGTGCAAAACAGCTCATTATAATCACGAGCATGATTTTTATTCGCCATGTATGAAAATGATCTAAAATACTTAATTATTGGGATTTGTTGCTCTCTGGTATTTTCCGTTTGATCTGTTCGAAGATAAGGAGAATAGTAAAGTCAATCCAGTGCAAACTTTGTTAAATTTTTTCATGTTTACGACGTAGATTCAAATAGACCGAACCTACTACCGCCAGGGTCGCATTAGAGCTTTTTTGTTTGTTTAAGCGAAAAATATGTCAACGAGTTGTGTTAAATAAGTGCTACCCCCAATTTTAAAACCTTGCCAACTTTTTGCGGATCGCCAAAATTTCGCCAATCTTCAAAGGAGCCGATGTCCTGCCTCGCAGGCTTCCAATCTTTAGCACACCGAACAATCTTGTTTTTAAACCATTTAGCTGTCATCGTACACAAGACATGTTCAGATAAAATTTAAGCGGGAAAAATACGCTGTGGTCCGCTAGAGTAGTTTGGCGCACGCGATGGCAGGACATCTGACCCTCAGTTTTCGTTTGATGGAAACGAGGAATTTGAGTGACGTTTTTATTCGAATGTCTGACTCGTACCCTGGGCCCGGTCACTGGCGGCAATTTGGAGAACAATCGGCTTTAACGAGTACTTCTCCTTCCAATGGAATCATCGAAGCCAGCACAAGTGGCGCAAGCTGCAACCAAAAAGATCGACAGGAAAAAAGAAAGCGGAATACGATACATGGTCCCAAGCTCGAACCATGACTCCACCGAACGCGGAGACCTCGACTAAGGACGGTTTCGAAAGCGAGCTCTATTTAATAGAAGTCTTCGCCCTCTACGTCTAAGAGTTGATACTAGCCGCATAGAAGCCTGCTGATAATGTACCAACAAGATAAAAAACGCAACGTTGTTTTTTGCAGAGAAAGAAAGCTGCGAAGATAATCATTCGATGACGATCCATACTTTGCCCAGTAATTTTAGCGATAATTTTTTCTTTATCCTTTAGTAGAGGGAGATGGGTTCGTGATTGACGAACGTGTCAATCAATGAAGTTTTGATCAAAGGATACTAGTTTGATGCATCCGCCTCCAAAAATTGAAAATTGCAAAAATTTTTGCCAATGTTTGGCTCGCGAAAAATTGACAGATATTTGAATTCGCTCTAGTGCGACCCGGCCCTTAAATTCTCAATTTCAAATAGATTCAAATAGACCGACCTACTAATCCTCTATTTTCTTATGTGACGTATACGGCGAACGACTTAAAGATGGCTACGAAAAACTCTAAAGATTTTATTGTGCTATCCGTGGTCGAAGTAATGGAAAATGCCTTTAGGTTAGCAATGGGTACCGCTCTCACTTTTCTATACACTGATTTTATTGCGTGCATTGTCAAAAGTTGTTTGCATCGGTCGCAGTAATGGAAAATGCCATAATTTTTAGGTTAGCAATTTGAGCTCAGGGGAAAACCGCACTAACGTCACTTGCGACTTTTGCTAGTTGTTTATTTATCCATTCTGAACGATTTTGCGATTATTCAATAGTTTGAACAGCACAGTTTTTGATGGCAATTTTTCTTGGGCAGCGGTCAATCGAGTCAATTAATAATTTTTAAGAAAAAAGCAAAATGCATGAAAACTAATCTTTTAATAATGAACGCCACAGTCTTAGATGCAGCGCTTTTCAAAACATGTGGCGCTTTTTCTTGGGCAGTTCAATCGAGTCAATTAATAATTTTTTAAAAGCAAAAGACTTTTAATAATTAAAAAAAAAGACACTTAGTTGTTTTATGTTTTACTTCATAAATGTGACTTTTCAGGTTACCTTTGAATAAAATTGTAGAAGGTTTTATTCTAAAACCAAAAGTTCCCAAAATCGACATAAGACAAAGAGTAAGGTTTACCAAAAGCATACACAACAACTGAGATCCCCTTGAAGTAAAGATGTAACTTGAGACTTACTCTCGACAACAAGACTGATGTTTTTCGGCTCCTGGTCGTCCACTTCGCAGCTGTAATTTGTATTTCCTTCTTCTTCAGTGACGTTGATTTGAAGTCGCACACTAGTGCTGTTTTGCACAACAGCGCCATTCTTTCTCCAAACAATGCGAGGAGCTGGTCCACCTTCCGCCGGGCACCACAACGATGACAAATGATTGAGCAGGACAAACTGAGTCTTTGCGACGTTTTTCAGGTTGGTGGGATCTAAGCACAAACATAATAAGACATATCATCCACAATAAATTATACCAATAAGCCAATAAGTAAATCAAAACATTAAAACCCAAGAATACTTACATGTTGCATTCAGTGCTTTTCCCTCATAACTGCTCCATAGCCGGTATCTACGGTGAGGTGAAAATCTTAACCACATGTTCTGTCCACTGGAACGTAGTTTAAAGCGAGGAACGTATCTTCCACAAAATACACCCAAAAGATTTCCAGACTGATTATACCCATCACGGATCTCAAGATATTCCTCATCAGCACAAGGTGCTCCAGGTAAGTCAGGGGGCAAATAAAGCCCCAATTCTATTTCCACATATCGCCCTTTTTCTACTTGAAGACGGTGGGTTGTGTCAAAGTCTGGGATATATCGGGAATATGCTCCCGCGATTATTGCAACTGTAACAAAGAACATAATTTCACAGAGGAATAAGTATACATACTTTGCACAGTTAGTTCATTAATGACTGTCTACTTGCTTCCGTTATCGTGTGCGTAAACGATAGTGTAAACTCATGATAGACTCTGAGATTAACTTCATAGGAAAATTTTCCCTGTATTTTTCTGGTAAACCTGTTATACGAGAAGTATTTATTCTTAATAAATCAGTGAGCATGTCAAACTCCTACGTCAGTAATTAACAACTGATCAGACATGCTGTGCCACAAGAGTCAAATGTCCCTGGTCGTCTATGTGGTAAGCATGGATTGCACACATAATCTTCGCGCAAATAACGTGTTCTTGTAAAGAACTATTATCAATGGCCCTTGGTTAGGCTTGGATAGTTTGCGTTCGCGTAATAGTTTAAACTGCCAGACTGCAATGCTCATCGGTAAAATTGCATAGTTTGCTCTAAATTTTACCAAGGCTCTTAAATTACGCTCTTAATTATCCTCGGTGGCCAAAACAAAATCGTTCCTTCGGATTGTACGTATTTTCACAAATATGGATGGTAACCTTGGCCTAACGTGTGACGCTAGTTATAACTAATTTATGGAGCATATATATTCCTCAAACTCAGTACAATTTCATTTCTTTGCTGAGTCGTAATAATCAAAATAGATGAGCTGCTAAAAGGCATCAAGACCTTAAAAAAACGAGAAATTATCAAGGTATACAATATAAGATTTGTATTTAGAGCCAATGAATTTCACTGAACCTTCCTACAACTGTTCTGCGTATAAATAATGTTACTGATTTCCCTTAGTTCTGCCCATATTTTTACGTGAACTTTCGACAGAATACTCGCCTCCAACACTGCTTATTTTTTATCATTCTGCCGATAGAATTGATCTAAGCTTACCCTCGGCAAATCAGAATAATCTTTGCGTTAAAAATTTATCGTAACTTTTCTCACAACCAAAACTACTATAGTGTGTCTCATGCTCGCTCATGAAAACTACACGTCTTAAACGAGCTCAGCCGACTTACCCAAAACAAAAATGAAAGTCCACATGTTAGACATCTTTCCTAGAAAGAAAAGCAAATGGGTGTTAAAATAAATTCAAATCTATCTTATCTGTAAGCCTCGAGTCGGCACCTCAGCATATCTATACGTTGTATACGTTGCGATTCAGTATCATCATCGGCTTCGACCTTATTTCCTTTGTCGCGTGATTGGACCAGAATATTTATGCCTTAACGACTAAGCGTTCTCCCGGCCACTGTGGCTATATCATACGGTGAATGTTTTGCACTATTTTACTATTTTATTTGACTTAAAATGGAACGTGCAGGTTAGTTAATATTCCCGCTATTAAAATTGTTCAATTCAAATGTTTAACGCTGTTTCTAAACATTTCTTGTTATTAAGAGACTTATAGCAACATCCGGCATATTTCCATTGACTGCTATTTTATCATTGTGTCACACCTACCCCAATTCTAGTAATATTCCATACAGTGTTATTTATGAAAACGTTGCGTCGGCAAATAAAACAAAAATTCGTCGTCGTCACAACTTTATTAAGAAGTCAGTTACTCATATAACGACACAAAGCGTTATGTTCTCTTATCCTCTTGATTTTTTCCTTATATTTTTCTCCGGCAGTGTAGCATAAGACTCTACTTAAATTAATTTGATCACCAGTTATAACACAAAAAAGCTACGAGATTACCTGAATAGTGTTTGTTTCATTTCTCCGCTAGATTGTTTTATGCTGCAGTCGCACTTACCAACACAACAAATATTTTATTCACGTATACATCAATAAAACCCTAACAGATGTTTCAAGCTGGTGAGGTTATACGTAAGTTGCTAAAGTGGAGGCTCGACATATATTTATCTCACGTAGCCTCTGAAGAAGAGTTTCTCAGCGTGCTTAACAAATCTGAACTGGAAAAAAAAGATAAAAACAAAAACAGTGTTCGCACTAGTTGTGGCAAAATAATAACGTAAGTTATTTTTTTAGAGGAGAAAATCTTTCACAAAATGAAGTCAGACTCTAGCCCTCTAGTCATTTCCTCTTTGTTTAATAATTAGCATTTCAAATGTCTCATTCTTATTTTGGAAAGGAAGTTTTAACACCCGCCAATACTTCATCCTGATCTGTGAATCAAAACATTTATACCTTCAACTTTGTAAACCAAAAATCCATTGCAAGACTCGGGTGTCTTAAGTTAAGCAACGTTCACATGCAAGACTTACCTGTAATATAATTGTAAGTTATATTAAAGAAACATTAATATTATATTAAAAACAGGCTCGGTAAACAAACTTGTTGTCCTCTTTCCAAGAACTAACAACATGAAAAATAGTTTTAGTCATAGCGGTGCAACCCTTTGGAATAGCTTACCCTGTAACATTAGAGAGTCTGGTTCATTAAACTAATTTAAAGCCCTTCCCTATCATAATTTTAAACACGGCATTCATGGAAATCAGGTTTTTAAGTGGCACATTGTTGTAAGTTAATATAATGTTAGGATTAGGATTTTTAGGTTCTTAGGATATTAGTCATTGTATTGGAATTTTTTGTACCTGATGAATGTTTTTTACCGCGTATAAATAATGATTAAATAAATAAATAAAGTTGACGAGAAAAAAAAGGGAATGAACTAAGTGACCTTAATGACGACAAAAAACGTTTTAACCTTGACGAGAGCGAATTCAAAGATAACACAGTGAAAAAGCCTGTTAACAATGTTATATATTATTCTTTTGTGCTTCTGTGTATTCACGTGCTCGTCTGTATTTTAACCCCTGTTTATTAGTCCTTTTGTCCCAGTAAATTTGCTGAAAATTGTTATTAGGCTACATCATCTAAATCCATATTGAAGAAAATAAGCACCCGAGCACCATTTGTCATAATTTAAGATCTGCGCATAAAAACCCGCGCGGAATCTAAACGCTCGCAATTTAATTATTTCCCTATAAAAAATTCAAATCACAGAAAAAAGTGATCAACATTTAATAACAACAAAATCTAGAGGATATGTGTTAACAAATACACAAATCATTAACTGGTCTTATGTACTGGTAACTTCTATTTTTTATCTTCCATTGTGAAATGACGTTCATTTGCAAGGATTTAGCATATGGTGCAGAGAATCCAGCTCTCATCTTCATCTTTATCGCTCTCTTAATTCGTACAAATTCCTTAGGATATATCTCGTGCGGCCGTCAAAAATTGACAGATTGAAAATTTAAATGAAATTGAGAGCGCTTGAGTCGTGAAATTCAATGTCCCTTTTAAATATTTGCCTTTCGAAATCGCGAAAATAAAACCCCGTCAAATATTATCTCCTCAGAATCGCAAAATTAAGTACCCGCGAAATTTTAATAAAATTTAAAATCACTAAGTTAAAAGTACCTGCTAAATAAATAAAAAGCTGATTGAGAATCGTCAATTTTCTTTTTTTATTTGCGTGAAGACTTTGGGAGGCCGTGGAAGATGTCACTGAAATATTCACATATTTTGTTGCACTTCCTCTCCTAACGAAGAACTTGACACAGAATTCAGTTATTATTGTTTGCCCAACTTTCTCATTTTTGATCAGCTTAACAGGACATTTCATATCGAAATCAGGCTTGTTGACAATTGACTCATCAATAAAAATTCATTTAAGTGTACGCATGCGCCTATGTTTGTGTTCAGCGGAACGCAAGGAAAGTGAACGAGAAACTTTAGAGGGAACTGTTTGTCTCAGCTGGTTATTTTGCTCCTAGTTTGACTGGTGTCAAGGCTCTCCGAGTTGTTCTTTACTCCTTACTCATTAGAAATATTAGTAAATTGTGAATCTTTCCCAAAATGCCACAGTGTTATCTGCAAAACAGGACCGTCTCAGTCATGAGAGGACGCGCGGACATACTACAAAGACACAAAGAAAGTGAGAGAAGCTCTGCCATAAGCAGCCGAGACTTGAGAATTCTAATCAGAACTTTCCGAGGGAAAATTGGACTCTAAAAAACCGTGAATTTTTTGGCTGAATAGCAATCATTTTATTTGATAGAGGGCGGGGGAGGGGGGGGGGGGGGCGAAAGAATACTTGGAAATAACAGTTGACGAGAGTAGGGGTCTAAAGGTATAGTCAAGAGGTTCTCTTAAAGGATCTTTCCCTGTTAACAACCAATTTCAGGTCAAGTGACCGGTTTATTTCTAAAAATGCTGAAGTCAACCTAAGTCAAAACCATATAAATATACAATTACAAAACGAAAATTCCTTGGTTATTTAGACAAAAGAAAAAGAACCTGATTAGTCCACCGTATATCATAAAAGTGGACTTCTGTTTGCTGCTAAAAATATCATGCGATTGTCTCCCGGCCTACTATTGAGGGATGCATGCTTATATAACGTCGCCAAATTTGCCAACGCAAAAATCATTCTATTCTCAAATCAGTTGATAAAAAAAGCCCACACAGATGTTTAAAGCTGCGCAAGTAATAAACGTAGAGGTTGTCTCATTTTAAATTCACTTTAGGTAATTTATACATCCCTAACGCTTTTTTAAATTTACTTATTTGGGCTAAAATAATTAAGTCTATAAGACCAGAATTAAAATAGTCAGATACCTACATGATGCCATAGAAAATAATTTTAAGAAAGTTGAACATGTAAACATTTCAAAAGACACAAAATAAAATTCAACCCAGTCATCAGTTTGTAGCCACGGTAAATAATTACTGTGGCTGTGATATATATTGCACATCTCCATTCAGCATAATCTTCCTTAAAACTCAGATGTATAACTATTTTTCATTTTTCACGATTTAACAGTTCAGTTTGTTGTTAACTAATCCTCCAAGTTCGTTAATACTATCAGGCGGCCGTTATCCTTGGAATTAAATATTCAAAACTGTAGTAAACAAAATTAAACAATCATCTTTTACTTCCATATGTTTAGTTAGAATTTGAATAACAAAGGTACTTTTCCATTATAATCTTATCTTTGGGAGAAACCATTGAAAGATGTCAACGAAGCCGATGTTATTTTACTTTTCTGTTGATTTACTTATTGCAAAAAAAGTTCAATGGTTTATTCTATTAAATTTCCAAGACTAAAGAAACAAAAACTGAAGCTGGTATTCCTGCACAGTAAACAAGCAATACTTATAAAGTAGATTATTAAAAAATGGACAGTTGCTGTATCATTGTTATTCTAATTTTTATGTGTAAGGAAGATAAAATTCAGCTACTTCAATATATGTAAACAAAGTGTCTTCAAGATAATTTATTGTGTGGGAGTTTGGTTGTTTTGTGAAAAAAATTAATTGCAACTTCACTTCAAAAAAAAGGAAGTAAAGTAAAAGTGAGAGGATGTGCTCATACCATCAGACATATCCCTCTCCCCTGAAAATTACACTCAGTTAAATTTAGTATGAGCCAGAAGAACCATGCAACCAGAATTCCACTGGTCTCCGAGGCCTGATGCAACTTAAAGCGCAGTGGAACCTCGATTTAACGAACTTCGATACAACGAAGTCCTCGATATAACGAACGATAGTCTTCAGCCCGACCAAAGTTACAGTAAAATGTATAGGAAAGAACCTCGATATAAGGAAATCCTTGTAGAACGAAAACAATCCAGAAGCCCAAACGTATAATATACCCCGATATAATGAACAAATGTCAACACGTGACAAAAGACAAATGCAAAACAGACCAACAAGAATCAAAATCCTTTAATTCTATAACAATAGGACGTCACAGTTAACAGCTCATTATAAATGCCGACGGCGGTAAGGTAACGGCGCAGTTCGTAATTTCGTTCGTATACAGATACGAGAATTTCTTGAAGCCACTAAGTATGTCGGATGGTATATATTATTACTTAATGGCCGTTACGTACATTTGCGTCAGTATAATAGAAAATTCTAAGATAGCCAGTAACGCAATGACAAAACAACGAGATTTGTGATTATCATAAATCCCACGAATGCCGACACTGACACTATTGACACATCTACAGATCCGCTTTATCCTCTCTGTCTCTTATTAGTTACAATAAGGCTTCTTGTAGTTAAACTTGTAAGAGGCAGGAATTACCTCTTTAATACCCTTGTTTCTCTGTTTGCCAGTGACTTCCACTGAAATTTGTCCTCCGTGCTTTTAAAACAAGGTGCTGTAGCTATGTACAGACCTGTACAGCGTACTGTAGCTTCATGTAGATATTAACGCACAAATGTTAATTACAGTAATCGTTCCGATCCCGAAATGCCCGACGTCACACCACCGAAAAAAAAATTTAACCATCCCTCGATTTACAAAAAAAAAAAAAAAACAAACAAACAAACAAACAAAAACAAAAAACAAAAAGAAAGTGAAAAGGAAGTTAGGGAACCGTCGCACTAGGCATCTTGTTTTCGGCGGGAAATTGGAACCGGTGAGGACTTCCTGGTAACATTACTAGAAACCACTGTTCAACCGACCGCGGTATTTGCAACGGCCGCCAAGGTATACATAGCTATTCTCGATCGGCTGCATTTCTATAGCATGACGTAAATACTACATTCAGAACAAGGGATGATTTGAAGGTGTGATTTGAATCCAAATGGCTGAGATGGATTTCTTAGTTGAGATCCTGTTAAGAAACGGTGTAAGAAACTGGATAACGGTTGGGAGGCAGCGCACACCGCGCACCTATAACGAAATATTAGAACAATTGGAGGCGAAATAAGTCAGAGGATATTGGAAGATAACATGTTATTTAAAAACACTTTGACTTTGTTGACGAACACTGATTGATT